CCCTCCTTGAAGTTTGACCCACAGGGTCTCAGTTAAGCCTTCCTCTGGTCCCATTTGGAAGGTAGAACTGGTATACTGTTCCCTAACATAGAGCGCAACCCCCCCACCTTTTTTCCCCTTCCTACCTCTTCTAAACAACCTATAGCCCTCTATGTCTACTGCCCAGTCAAAAGTTTCATCCCACCATGTCTCCACTAGGCAAACCAGGTCGATTTTACTACTTGCAAGCAGGAGAGCAAGCTCCTCCTGCTTGTTCCCCATGCTTCTTGCTTTAGTGAAGAGACACCTTAATCCCCCCTGTGGGAGCCCTAGGCACTCCCCCCTTCCTGAGAGACAACTGGTCCCTTGGTATATACCTGAGGTCTTACCTGGGCAGGTCCTACACCAGGTTGAGTTTTCTCTTGCTCCTGTGGATCCCCATCCCCTGATCAGCTTAGTTTAAAGCCTTCCAACCTTGAGGAAGCTTGTCCTGGCCTCTTCCACTGACAGAATATACTCCTTCTACTTCCTTGCTAGGGCTCCATATCTGTTCTCCATTCAAAACACTGCCAGTGGAAGGTAAAGACTTCTGCATCCTGCCAGAGGTCACAAGCTTCCAACTTCCACATTCCTGGGAGTCCATGTCCTCTTCTTTCTCCAGCTTTGCCTCTTGTAGTCCTTCCTCTACAGTCCTAAAGGTCTCCTTCAGCATTGATTCAATGAATTAATGGCTGGGGATTCTTCAGAGCCTCATCAACTCCTCCTGTAGCTCTCTTACCTGCTCCCTGATGGACACCAACAGGAGGCACTGTTCACATCACAGGGACAGTGCTCACATCACAGGCACTGAACACAGTTGTCCTTTAGCATTATATCAAATCATCAGTAGTGAAAACTAAACTATATAGGATTTCTTGACTAGAACATTAAAATTAAAATCCTGACTAATAGACTATTGAGAAAGAGATCAAAATAAAACTTATTTACACTTCAGGTGAAAGGAAGGATGCTCTTGCATTTAGACATGAGAACAGAATCAGCACAGCAAAGTTCTTTTCTGTGCTTTTCACAGTAACTTTCTATCTAGCATTAGGGAGGCTGTTTAACTATTCTGTGCTTCAGTCTCATCACCTGTAGAATGGAAATAATTTCCTACTGCAGAGAGGTGTTGTGAAGCTGTAAATTTTGCAAAGTGCTTTGCTAATCTCAAATGAAAGCATAACATGAATATAAATGATAATCATTTAAATGTTTTTATCTCATGGAAATGTAATGATATTAGAGAATGTAAATAATTCAGTAGCAAAACAGTTTATGATTCAGATCCTCATTTGGTAGCTTTATTGGTTTTAATGAAGATATGCCAGTGTTTCTCAATTGTTGATATGGCACTAAAAATAAAATGTATATATACTTTTTATGTAAACCCAGCTTAGTTTTTTCATTATCTTCAGTGACTACTTAGTGTTGATTAGTATAAATATTCTAAACTGATTCAATTATATGAGCAAGAAGATCTATATCAGTGCTGCCTTCCATATTTACTTCTGACATCAAGAATCAGAAAAGCTTTCCAATGATCAATAAAGCTCATTTAATCTTACTCATTTATGGCTTTGTGGTTTTCTGTCCAGCCCAAGAAGCTGCTTAAACCTGTCCAAACTGGCAACAGTCCTGAGGAGACTGAATCTGCCAGCTGGGAAGTGTTGGAGTAGAACATGATCTGGTCTAATGTGTCCCTTGTTGACTGTGGGTAGGGTTCAGAGTAGGCTTATATAAAAGCTGGTGACATATGCTCTAGAAGCATTGGAAACTTTATCTTAAGAGATGTTTTCCCCAAGAGAAGAATCCCTATGGTATAGATCAGGGCAGGTTCTATCATATTTCTACTTCCAGAGTGTCAGTAAAAGCTTGGAATAGGGAGAATTTTTAAATTTAAAAAGGAGAAAATGATGTAATAGATCAATCAATGGAAATGTATTTTTTAAAAGAAACAGAAGGATAATTATCAAGAAAATGTCTTGTTACCTTTCCAATTTTTTTCCAAACCAGTATGGATTTAATCCTGATTTACACTGGTGTACATTTGCTACTGATTTGGGAGAGTAGTACTGCCTGGGTGCATCTACACGTGTGCTTAACTGCTCAGTCGACTAATTTGCTGCACTGTAAAGTGTCACAGTTTACACGTGCAACACTATTAGACCACAGAAAATGAAACTTTGCCACTGCAAGATAGTACAGGACAATATTATCTTATAGCAGCAAAAATAACTGCACCTAAATGCATGTGCAAATGCAGACCCAGGCATACACTGTGGCCAGTTAGCCGAGGCAGCAGGGACTCTGCCTGCTGCCTAGCCACAGAGCTCCACATGCTGGAGCACTCTCATACCCCAGCCAGCCCCATCGCCACTCATTGCCACTTCCTGGAGCCTGGGGCTGACCCCTGGAACCTCCTGTCAGCCCACAGCTGTTCCACCCTGGCTCAAACTGCTGTGGGACCAGGTGCAGCATTTGTACATGCGCCGTGGACTGCATCAGTTTGAGCATCTACAAGTGCCATTAAGGAGCCATGATAAACTCCAGTACAAACGGTGCTGGAGTTTATCATGTTGCCTTAATGGCATGTGTAGATGTACCCAGTCATGTAACATCTGCCTGCAACATTGTTCAACCATAGTAAGGCCACTTAAGATAGTGAAAGCATTTTGTTAGGGTCTTGTGGCATGGGACATTTAGCAGATGTTAAAGTTAGAATGTGTTTTGAGCAGTTGCATGGTAATGCTTACTACGGTCTCTTAACATGCACAGCTCACATATGGCATGAGTTGTGCATGTTTTGTTTTAAATATTGGATCTCACCAATGCTTTGCACTAGAGCTGATCAGAGACTCCATTGCAGTCCCAGGGCTGGGCTTGAAAATCAGATGATTTTTGGTCCCAGCCCTGGTACTACCCCAAAGCCATTTTGAGGGTCCTTTGTGATACTGGGGCTTAGACTCACAATCAGAATATTATGGGTCTCAGCCCTGCAACTGCAAGCCATCATACTCTCTCTATCACGCAGTCCAGCATTAGCTCATCACCTGTTCCTGAATATGATCCAGAGATACACCTTAGTGGAAAAGGCAAAACTTTGCTACAGTACTGTATGGTATGGTATGTGCGCACTTGGCATAAGATAGCCTGCTTGAACATGCAGACACTTGTTTTAAATACATATAACACGTGCTAAGCATCATGTGTGACATGTCACTGCCACAGACTTCCTGAATGACCTTAAGTTAGTCATCTATTAAAAGTACTTAAAAAAAAATCATTCACTTTGCAGCAGCAAAACCAGGGTGGATAAACAAGCCCTGATAATTAAGGTAGGTAGCTGCAGGAAGACTGGTCATAGCCCAGGAAGGGCGGGAGACTGCACTGACCTGCAGGTGAAAAGATGTGGGAGCTGCAGCAGCTTGCCGCACTGCCACAGCATTTTATTAGTTAATGTTCCCTGAGACTCCAGGGACGCACCAAAGCTGATGTCATGGTGCTGCATCATGGCACTGTCATAAAAGCAGAAGCAGAGCTGACCAGAAGGGGAGATACCGGGCAGCATAGCCCAGAGAGCGGTGGAACCAGCACAGAGCAGGGTTGTTTCCACATCGTGGAGACCTGGAGGGGTCTCCAGCCTCACCTCAGCGCTGGACTTCATAAGTAGGGAAGACCAGTGGATAAAGGGGCTTCTACCCCAGGAGCAGAAATTCTAAAGGACAAGCTGCCAGAGCTCGAAGGTTTGGGTTGGGATCAAGGACTGTTGCTGGCAATTTGCACTATTTTGTTCTGTTTGGTGTTTTTTGCTCTTCCGTCTCTATCAGGCTTTGTTTTTTTTTAATTAGTCAGACCATGGATTAGTGCCCAAAGCCCAGAAGGCACCCAGTGTAGGGGATGGGACTTGGCCTGGTGGGACTCGGTAGAGCCATGACACTTCACCAGAAGTGGTGAAGGAATAGTGAATGCTGTCAATTTCATTTTTGTTGATGGCATAACTGATTGAATTATAGTGATTTACCTACCTGCATCATATTGAAAACACATTCAAGTCCAAAAAGGGAAATCCATTAATTGACTCCCGATATGGAGATTTATTTTGGTTTCCTTGAGCCAGGGCATCCCAGCAGTAGTTGGAGTTCATCCGACAACATGGCTGAGGTGCACGAGCTGTGACATGATGTATTTGATGCCAGCTTGGAATTTTCAAATAAGCAGCTGTAGCCAGTGGGATTAAAGATCTGTCATTGTTACACCAGTGGTTGGCAAGAGGAAGGGGTGCAGGGAGGAGAAGCTGCAAGAAAACACACCACTATGTAAGTATGTTAGGGAAGGAACCCATATCATCTTGGAACCCTCCTTATTTTTTAAGACCAAAGGTGTGCAGATGAATTGAGTGCAGTCCCTCCAGACCCTCAGACAATCAACA